GAAAAGCAGAAGAATCGATGTTCTCAGGGATTTTTCATTTGCTGTTTGTAGAGGAAACACAGTGATTGGCCTCCCACCATCCATCCTTCTTTTTAGTAAATATTAAAAATTTTTAAAATCCTCATTTGTAATAAAACCCTTGGTTTTTAAGGGGCTGGTGCTCTCTAGGCTAAAAGTCTCCATTGCCAACTTCTGCTCAACTATGTGTGCTCCTGTGATGGAAGTTTTGGCAGGTGAGCGGTGGAAGTGCTATGTGACTTCTTGGAATTGTCAAAGAGAGGACAATGTCAGGCACAGGCTCCAAGTCCACCCTCGGCCTCTGGGATGTGACTCCCAAGTGCCTCCTGTCCAGCCTGTGTCCTGCAGTCACCCCTTCTGAGCACCCCCCCCAGGGCACCCTAGGGTCTGTGCTAGCCTCTGGCTGGAGGCCAGGGTCCTGCACCTGGCTCATTCTCTGGTGCTGAAGTAGCTGGGGGGCAGGGCTGGCTCTTGCCAGCGGTGGTGCCCTGTTGACACCAGGGTACCTCACCCCAGCTTGGGGAGAACAGAGCAGACTGACAAAGCCCAGGGCATTTCCTGGGCCTTGATGTGGCGGGGGAGCAGAGGGCCTCCACTGTCTCCATACCCAAGCACACGGCTCCCTCCTGTCGAAGGCCCCACAGCTAGGATGTGTCAGCATGGGGCAGAGACGGGTCCTGTCCGGGATGAAAACCGACTTTCCTGGTTCTGGGAATGGAGGGCCCAGGACATGGCAGACCCGGCCCTGCTGTCTTAGACCCTCGTTCACCTCCAGGTGCCAGGCCATCTGGAGACCCTACAACCTCTTGAGGTTCTCCCATTGAGAACCACTGGCCTGGAGAATCCTTGAACTACTGACCCAGGACCTGGCCTTTGCCCAGCAACCCACCTCCAGCCCCCTTCAGACACCTCCTTCAGGTGGCAAGGAAAGGCTGCATGTGACAACCCGAGGACCCTAAGCCTCAGGCAGCTGCAGCCAGACCCAGAGAATCAGCCAACCCAGAGAATTGGCTGTGGACATTCTTGAGTGAGGGAGACAGGGAAACTTGTTTGGGAACCAGTGGCTCCTGGTGCCCCATTGTTACTGAGGGAATCATATTAAAGACACAGATTCTGAGTTAGTGGCCTGGGACAGGGCCTGGGGTTGTGCATCTCTGTCCAGCTCTGCACTGCTCTGGACCCAGCCCTGGCCCTCAGGCCGCAGGGCCCCAGCATTGCCTGGATGCCTGCTGGAGAACAGACCCTGGCCCAGCTCTTGAGTTTTTGATCAGCAGGTGTGAGGGGGCACAGACCCTGCATTTCTCATGAGTCCTCAGGTGGAGGCTTCTGGTGAGATCAGGAGGAGGAGACTGGCCCCTGAGCAGCAGGGATTTGCTGAGAAACTTGGGGAATGTTTATTTTAAAATCGGGAAAAACATGACCTGGAGTCCGCAGCCTTTCCAAGGAAGGGAAAATGCCCGACCAGTCCTCTGGGGTCCTCTCCTGCCTCTGGAGCTTACTTCACTTGGCCTTGGTAAGTTCCTACAGCTGCCTTTCACCTCGGACTCTGCGAGTCTCATTCTTTGAATTCATGAGACAAAAAACCCAGCCAACTCCGGGCTCAGTAATGCTGCCATGGGGAGCACCTTGGTGAGCCTCAGGTCCAGCTAGGGGTACTCTACCACGCCCAGCTTATGCTCTGGGGGCCCTGTGTTCAGGGACAGGAGGTGCCCTCTGTCCCAGGCTTCCTCCCCCTCAAAGTCAGGGAATCAAATGCTACCGGCTGGTCCTGGGGACTGTCGCTGCTCTCCCACTGCCCAGTCCGTTCTGTGGAAGTCCCTGCACTCACCGCCCATGTTGTCCCAGTAGGTGTTGTACATCTCCTTCACCCGCCGGTAGTGGAAGGCCAGATTCCACATCCAGTCCACACCGCCATACACCCTGGTGCCTAGGCACAGGCCGGCCCCCGGGGCTGCACTGTGGAAGCCATTGGTGGAGAAGTTGTAGGTGCTGGGGAGACAGGTGAGGGCACAGCGGGATTAGTGTCCTTGCACTGGGAGACACAGGGCCTGAGGACCCACGGGTGGATCTGGGGTACCTGTGCACCCCTGGATGATTTCAAGGTACCACATGAGCACCTGAGAGGAGCAGCACTGGCACCCCAAGAAGGCCGTGTCTCCTGCTCCTCTCTAAGCAGCCCACACCCCTTTCTTCTTTATCAACAGAGCCTCTAGCTTCTTCGGGACACAATGGCTGCCCCTGAAGGCAGTGGCCAACCCAAGAAAGACTCTGTCCTCTCCCTTTGGAATTCTGAGCTCCAAGGGAATTCTACAATAAACAGCTGTGATCGGATCATCCTGATGAAAGAGTCCAGTTAATCCCCACTACGGGGATCCCCAAGTCCCCCTGGGAAGACCTGGCCCCACCTCTCCTCCCTCCCACAGCCTTTCTCCCAACTTTTGTCAAAGGAGGCGCACTCCGCTGCCCAGTTGGTGCTTTGCAGATATGTACCTCGACCTCCAGAGAAGCATGTTAGGCTAAGGAATTCTCTGTGTGGCCAGGAAACTTTAGAAGTGACAAAAAAGTGGCATTTCCAAAGGTCAAGGAACACATCCCACATAAAAGGGGGCAGAAGCTATCCTCTGGGACCGCACTGGGCACTTTTCCAGCTCATTCTCTATCCACCAAGGAAGGGGCAGGACTTCTAGCCATCACAGTCCCCTGAGTCCAGACCCCAACTCCTGACCACCCTTCCACCCTCCCTGTTCAGCAAGGCTCCCATCTTGCCGGGACTTATTCTTAAAGAACTAACACTGCCTATTAATTTGGAGGATGACCTGAGTAGATGCCCAGAGATAGAGTCTCCTTAAGGAGGGTGGGGTGGGGTGCCCAGCGGGACCGAGGGGTCAGTAAGGTGGGATTTAATCCCACCTTAAATCTTGCCCATTGTCCCAGAGTGGGTCTCTGGAGCTGGGCTGCTCGGGTTTGGATCCTACCTTTCACCAGCTATGTGAGCTTGGGCAGGTGTCTTGATCTCTCTGTGCCTCAAGTTCATCAACTATGACAGGGAGTGACAGGAGAGTCTCTTAGGGCTCCCTCAAAGATGCCAGGGGTTAACCCACAGGAAGCATTGAAAGCAGGGCAGGTGCTCAACAAGGGCCCTGAGGTTGAGTCTCACTGCCAACTGAACCCCTGTACCCATCGAAAAAAAGAGACATTTGATGCTTGGTGCTGAGCCTATAGTAGGCTCAATATAGTGAATATTTCCTGAATGATTAAATGGGGAATTTGACTTGGGGAAACACCCTCAGACGATGGATTCCTGGCACAAGATACCAGGCAGCGCAGCCCAAGGTGGGCTCCCAGCAGCTGCAGGGGAAGCACTAACCCCAGACCCTGGTGTCCCAATGTCTTGAGAGGGAGCCTGGCTCCCAGAGATGACTTCACAGAAATGACCCATTAACTCTGACCTGGCCTTATTTACACCAGGAATTGGGCCGCAGAATGGTGCTGCTCCTCACCAGCCTGGGGACAGATGGATGTTCTGGATGGCTGATGAGATTACTTCTGATAGTTCTGGGCTTTGGAGAGACTGGCAGAGCACCCGGCAGGGACTCCGTTCTGGTTCAGACGTGGGTGGGGATACGTCCACACCCGTAACCAGAACCTGCTCACCGTATCCAGGACGGCTTGGAGGTGCTGAGCTGTGATGATTTGGGGTTGGCACAGAGGACCTGTGGTTCTGTTTTGGTCACGTCTCCCCAGGGGCAGGCTTGGGACATTTCTATCTCACTCCTCTGAAAGCTGGCTCATTACCAAGGCAGCCGGTTACCAGATTTCCAGAAACCGTCTTAGGAGTGTTTTCCCGTGAAAGCCAGACTCACCACTTATTTGTTCAGAAAGTGTTTCTTGAGTATTGACTGAATGAATTTTTTTATATTAAAAATACATACCAGCTAACGAATATCATGAAGTCTCCAAAGGGACGTGGATCAAACTCTTTTTTTTTTAAAGAGAGAG